TCAGCTTCCGCCACCCCTGTATTATAATATTTCTCTGGCAAGGAAATGTACTTTTGGCCCAGCATGCAAGAAACGAGCCAAAAACAATGTTTACAAATGCTCACCAGAGAGTAACACTCGTTCAAAGGAAACTCGACATGCTGAAACGCACAAATACATTTTTTATGAATTGCTTCATCTGTGAAGCAATTCATTCAAAGTTTCTTAGGCCTTGCCGGACCGTGGCCGGACCTATAATTCTACTCTTATAGTATTTTTACTGTTATTTGTTTTATATTTTTGTCTTTTTCGGTTTTTGTGCTTAACTGCTTGATTCAGCTACAGTTGTTAGCCCATAATAATCTCTTTTTAATTTACGCCGGATGATTCTCACCAAGAAAATATGCTCATATTCTTTTGTTCGTTCTCACTCAGTTTGACCCGCTTTCAGTCACTATCTTACACACACTTTACACTTACATTAAATATTCTACGCGTACAACGCTCCAATTCACATGTCGGTTTTTACAGGAGGAAAAGCACGAATGAATCACATAAAACAAACTCAACTCACAAGCCGTGGGACGGATTCACACGCGGGTTTCATGATCAGTGAGAAAAAAACCGGATGGCTAATGCAGGCAAAGCTAGAGCGGTTCCAAATTTATCACATCGCCTGCCATGGCCGTTAATGCCCTCGTTTTTTGAAACGTGTAAAAAAAATCTGCAACTCTTTAGCTGGAGCTCACCGCGTGCTTAAACTTTCTATTCCGTTTTCTGCTGGGTTAAGAAGTTAAAATTGAATTAGCGCGTTTGAAGCGGAAGACGATTGATGAGGACTGAATTAGAATCTGCAACCTGATTCTGAACTGATACTCAACCATCTCGCTAATATGTATACTTTCTTTCCGCGACATTACAGACTGTTAAAATGAGCAACCGTTTATACTCAGCGTTGTCAGCGATAAAAGATCAATATTCAACCCACACACTCTTGTATTATTCAAATTTCCTGTTTTGCTTGTAGACGGATTCATGGAGAACCAGGTTTCTCAGTAAGTTTCCGGAAATATTGCAGCATTGCAGTGTTGGTATACTAGTTTTAAACTAGTTGCAGTTATTTGTTTATATTTCATAGGCAATAAAATGATTTGAAAATGAGTTGATTGCCTCCAGCTGGTAGATTGAGAAATTTTCGAAACAAAGGAGATTTTTTTCTCAAATTATTGCAGCCATAAGAGTTTTATCTATAAATAATKACATTTAGATTCTCTTCTTTTTCTACTGGCAAAAAGCCTTTTAAGAAAAGGTGTGGCCTTTTCGATTGAGGTGATAAAGGTGCTAATAGCCCGGCCGTGATAATTGTTGGGGTTGGATAGACTGCATCTGTACAGCACTACCTAACGATTGTTAGTGACCGAAAGTTAAAATTTACAATGAAAAAGCTAAAACAAAGGCACGTGGGATCATTTCAAATGACTGTCATTGACTCGTTTGGTAGACGAGAAGAACTGAAAAAATCTTACTTACCTACAAAATGATAAAAGAATTGCATCAACTATATAGGAGTCGTGATTACGTTAGTGGTCGTAGTACTCAGAGACTACTGTAGCGGTGTCTGTAATCGTTGACTTGCAATATATTATCTGGATTATCTGAACACGATTTTATAGAGCAATGGAAAGTTATACAAGACATGTAATACTTGTAAATGACTGGAATACCTGAGGACTACAAACGCGTGAAGCGATCACTGACCTTAGTAATTGTTCTCGGATACAAATACCAGCCAACCGAACATAGAGCACGTGCTGGTGGGATACGGAGCACGATCAAGTAACTCTTGCAAGACTCTTTGGCTTCGTAAAGAACGTAATGCAATACCAGCGGATATTGCATGATACTTAGAGATATATGGCATCCGTTCGACCTCTTTGGTTCCCACGATTTGGAATTGGCTTGTTCACTGAAGGAAGTTCTTTCCAAGCTGTTGGGTTATCAGAGAGAACTACCAGCCCAGCATTCGATGATGTAAACTCAAGAAGCTCATCAAACATGATATAATATAAATCTTATCATGAAATAACAGTGYGAGAAATAATTCACAGGAGAGTAGGCCGGGAGAGTAGGTCGGGAAAGCAAGTTACTAAGCGACWGTCAGTGACGGAATGCGAAGATTACTAGCGCTTAGCGGAAAACGTTAATTGCTCAGTGTTACATTTTCATTTCAAAAATGTCAAATGTCTTCAAAAGATTCAAGTTATACATTGAAGCTACTTACGACTTTAAAGACCAAAATATCAGAGAAGTGGTTGTAATAAGGAGGTTTACTATTTTGGATGCTTGTAATAACATCGATCACTTCAGGTCATTCTGGACACAACTGAGCAATCCAAAAAGAGTGTTTTTTTTGTTTGTTTTGTTGTTGTTGTTGTTGTTGTTGTTGTTGTTTTCTGATTTCTCATAATTTAGCTAGATGGTCGTAACATGCACAGGTGTTGTTAGTCTGGGAAGCAAGGGTTGCTTACCGATGCTTGAAGGGTTTTTCTATCTATAGGTAGCTTATCAAGTGGGTTGCAAAACCTGTTAGGTGTTCTCTCCACCATGGAATGTAAACTGGATTAGATTTTTTTATTGAGTTTTATAATTCTAATTATTGATCGTTTGCAATTGACGTATTCATATGGTGGAAATGGAGAGATTTTTCGCAACGGTCCCACTGATTACACGTGTTCTCAGTCTACTTATATCGAAAAAAAGGGATTTCCCACATTTTAGACGGTTTTCAATCTAAAGATAGTTTGATGTCGAAGTGGAAACGTTTTAAAACTGACACGTTTTCTCAGACTACTGTTGAGATGGCCGGACGACTAAAATAAAGAAATGAAGAGGTTTAGTTCTTATTGAGGCATAAATAACAGTCATAATGGGTGAAAGAAAGTGATATTCCTGCTGTAAAGCATCTCTTAACCTGCYATTTGCCTCCATTAATAATGATCTTCTCTATAATTAAGACGATAAATTGATTAACCCTGATCCGTCAAACTGTCTAGAAGTTTTTACATCGAGGAAAGGCGTGAATGTGTAAGCAATTGTATTTCCCCGATAGAGATTATTGATTTCAATCATTCTGATTTCACCCGGAAATCAGGTCAGAATCCGTGGAA